TTAAATAACACATTTATTAATAAAAGTATATAAAGTTAAATGCTCTGTATAATATTACAGATTACAGATTCATAAATAAATTAATAACTAAACAAATTATAATAAATTAATAGTAAAAAAATAATAACTAATATCAAAATCTACAAAATATTGTTTGCTAAATTCGCTGTGGAACTAGCCGCTTTCTGTGACGAACTTCCCTTTAGCATTTTATCTCTAATCATATCAATAAAATTATTCATGGTTCGTGTATGATATTCCGTAGCAGAAGCTTGACGTTTTATGGCTTCGGTTTGTTTCTCTATAGCCAAAACTTGACGTTCCATTAGATTAGCCATGGTGCTGGACATTTGTGATAGATGTTCTAATAGTTTGGTCTGATGTTCCATTTGGTTCTGTAGCGTAAAAAAAGTTTGATCTAAGATACGGGCATTGGAGGGTTGCAGAGGAGGTGGATTAGGGAATTGTATATTCCTCGGCTGTTGAAAAGGTATTTGTTGTTGCGCTGTTGGTTGTTTTACATTAGACTGACCATAACTAATAGAATTGCAAGAGGTTTCTTCGGGTATAAATAATTGTGTATCATCTGCATAAGATTCTTCTAAAGGTTCTGCATCCGGATAGGAATACTCATTGTCATATTCATTAGCAAAAGTGGCTTGCATTGGTTGGTTGTTATGCCGACCATTATAGTCCTCATTTTCTGTTTTATAGTTTGCTTTAATTCGCTGGAGGGGACACTTTCGTATCGGTATTCTGTAGACTCCTCCGCTTCCTCTTCACTATTATTATAGCTGTTATCTGGCTTATCATATTGTGTATTACTAACAGATTTCGATTTAAATTTTCTTCTATTCTCCGCTCGTCTAAAATCAGACCAAACCTTAAGGGGATTTGAAAAGTTTGATTATTTGCATTTAAAGTAGTTAAGACATCTTTTTTACCTTTTTCCATTGTTGTAATGTGCGATAGGGTGGTCCTAGCTTATTTAAACTTTGCGTTAATTCTTCCCAATAGATATTATGCTTCTTATAAGAACCAACATTATTGGCATTTTTCATTTGATTCGTAAGTATTGCCATTTTGTGTTTCAATAAGCTGTACTGCTTGTCTGTGGTCCTTTTGTAGTTTGGTGGTCCTGAGCTAAAGTTAATGAGTTAAGAATTTGGTAAATTGGTTAAAATTTTTGTAACTTAAATGTTTTTCAATTTCGAACACGAAATAAGTTAACGATTAGTCTGTTTAGTTGGTTATTGTCAAGTCTATAAAGCAGTCTGTAGTCCAGCCTATACTATTGACAAGATCAGGCTACGGTACAGACTATTTTTTTAAATCTAGTCTGTAGTCTATAATATAATCAAAATCTGTCTATAATCTAGCCTATTAACAATAGTCTAGTCGGAACTGCATATCAAATGCAACCAGTTTATACCTATCATCCATTGCTTGTTTTGCAATTCGCATTTTGGCAAGCTTCTCTCTATAACGTCTCTTACGTAGACGATCATAACGCCTTTTCTCTTCAATTAGATCGTCGTTTCCTTTAGCCATATCTTTCAACAATTGCCTATGAATTCTCATTCTTTCATTGTTCTTTAATCTATTACTGTGGAATTTTGTTTCGTCTTCCTTTAACTTTTCTCGCCAACGTTTGCAACTCTCCTTATTTCTTTGACGGTTGCTCATCATAAATTACAAGGTGTAAATCAAGAATCCTTTAATTTTTCGACAAGTTTTTTTTATATTTTAATTGTATAAATGATCACATTTCCATTGTTTGTTGGAGATTTTAAGTTACTCCAGGAACAGGAAACCAAGTATCAATAAAAGTCCGGAATATCTATGGTCATTGCAACCGCTTTACTCTTTGTTTATTATTTTTAGAGTTTTTTTTAATGTCTTTCGATGCACTTATAACAATTGTTGTTATTCCATGTTTCACGGGACATGGGCATTTGCGATAATGCAAAGCAAAAACCTAAACTGGTATTAGTGACACACAATGTACGGTACATGTAGGAAATTGTCTTAAAAAAGTATATAATCAAAAGTTTTCATAATTTGACCCAATACTTACTTTGTTTGATTCATCTTTATAAAGCAAGATAAAAATTTTAATACTCTTTGTTATAATTGACTCTAATTTCACTAATCACAGAATTTTTTTATTCGACATGAAAAGCGGTGAATACACATTCACTTTGTTTACATTTTTGTTTTGTTTCACGCAAAACCGAAAACAGTGTTGGAAACTGTCATTTTAATGATGGATTAACTGAGGGATGCCAGATTTGTTAAGGGAAAACCAGATGTTGAAATAATTAAATTTACAAAACGGGGACAGGGATTTGGTTGTAACTAACTAAATAACTAACTAACTAACTAACTAACTAACTACTAACTAACTAACTAACTAACTAACTAACTACTAACTAACTAACTAACTAACTAACTAACTACTAACTAACTAACTAACTAACTAACTAACTAACTAACTAACTAACTAACTAACTAACTAACTAACTAACTAACTAACTAACTAACTAACTAACTAACTAACTAACTAACTAACTAACTAACTAACTAACTAACTAACTAACTAACTAACTAACTAACTAACTAACTAACTAACTAACTAACTAACTAACTAACTAACTAACTAACTAACTAACTAACTAACTAACTAACTAACTAACTAACTAACTACTAACTAACTAACTAACTAACTAACTAACTAACTAACTAACTAACTAACTAACTAACTAACTAACTAACTAACTAACTAACTAACTAACTAACTAACTAACTAACTAACTAACTAACTAACTAACTAACTAACTAACTAACTAACTAACTAACTAACTAACTAACTACTAACTAACTAACTAACTAACTAACTAACTAACTAACTAACTAACTAACTAACTAACTAACTAACTAACTAACTAACTAACTAACTAACTAACTAACTAACTAACTAACTAACTAACTAACTAACTAACTAACTAACTAACTAACTAACTAACTAACTAACTAACTAACTAACTAACTAACTAACTAACTAACTAACTAACTAACTAACTAACTAACTAACTAACTAACTAACTAACTAACTAACTAACTAACTAACTAACTAACTAACTAACTAACTAACTAACTAACTAACTAACTAACTAACTAACTAACTAACTAACTAACTAACTAACTAACTAACTAACTAACTAACTAACTAACTAACTAACTAACTAACTAACTAACTACTAACTAACTAACTACTAACTAACTAACTAACTAACTAACTAACTAACTAACTAACTAACTAACTAACTAACTAACTAACTAACTAACTACTAACTAACTAACTAACTAACTACTAACTAACTAACTACTAACTAACTAACTAACTAACTAACTACTAACTACTAACTAACTAACTAACTAACTAACTAACTAACTAACTACTACTAACTAACTAACTAACTAACTAACTACTAACTAACTAACTAACTAACTAACTAACTAACTAACTAACTAACTAACTAACTAACTACTAACTAACTAACTAACTAACTAACTATACTCAAACATGCATGCACCAATTCCATAAAAAACCCTTCACTTTTAAGCGTTCTTGCAACCTAGCCATCTGGCATCTTATCGCACTTTTACATTCGACACTTTACAGCACTGGGTTTTGTGTGTGAAAAGCAAAATGTAAACAAAGTGAATGTGTATTCGCCAGCTGCTGTTGCAGACCTATAAAAATAGTGAAAAGTGATTTTCGGAAAATTTTGCGGAATAAAAGTATTAAAAGATTTCGATTTAATTTAGATAAATATTGCAAAAAAAATGACTGATTTTGTGTGAGTATTAAATTGTGCAACGAAAAGATAATTTAAAAGCTGGAAACTAGTGGAATTTGCAAAAATTAACGTTTGAATGGATGTGGCCAAGAATACTTAATTAGCCGAGAGAAACAAGTTAATTAAGAAATGGCGAATTTGCAGGCGTGTGGTTGGCATTATTAGTATTTTCTTTTTGTGTAATTTGAATGTGAATTTATAAAATTGCGACGACTTTTTGTTTTTTTTTCATGACGAAGTGGTCATTTCGATAGTATAGGAGGGTTGTGTGAGAATTATTGGTTGTGTTATCGATTAATTTGTATTGTTCAATGGAATTTTTTTAATAAAAATATCATTCCTTTTGTGGCAAGAGTGTCATAACACCAAAATATCTTAATTTTGTACTAAAGTCAAAAATCCTTAGCAAATTTTAATTCAAGAGTTAAAGTTTTGCTATTAATTTAAAGATAAGTCAATACTGGTTGCGATTTTAATAAAATCCGCAGCAATGTTTAACTAAAAATTGTTAATTGTTTATTAATTTCTAAGCGTTTGCACCGAATTTAATAAAATTTCACATCTCTAGTTGTCAGGTATAGGTTTTGAATTTGGACCTTATAAACTAATGTAGCCGGTTTCAGAAGTTTCCAAATTAGGACAGCAAGATTAGATGAAAAGTTGAAAATTATCCCAAGTCTTTGGGATCTTATTTCAAAGGTTTATAAATGATATCATTCGTTGTTTCTCTAAAGGCAAAGTTCCTTTAAAATGCCAGTTTCAATATGCCTGATACTCCAGTTTCTGTTAATTTATAACTTCTTCCACTAATAAAAGGTTTTTACCACTCAATTCATCTTTTACAAACTTTCAGAATACGACACTCAGGCTATAAAAGGACCACAGACAAACAGTATAGTCTGCTGACACACGAAATGTCCAGGTTTTCTTTGCAAAATCGCTCTGGTAAAAAAGTGGATGCTATAAAACATTGGAACAATTTGACAGAAAAACTAAATGCTCTAGGACCACCCTATCGTACAATACCCCAATGGAAAAAGGTATTTCAAGAGAAAAACTAAATGAATTTCCAAAAAAACCATTAAATTTTAAAAAATTTCTAGGTTTGGACAGACTTTCGGCGCTTTCACAGTAAACGTGGCTTCAAATCAAAACCAAAATTTACAAAATCCATTAAAAAAGAACCCACACCCTACAATCAACTCTTTCCCACAGACGTAGCCGAGGAGCAAGCAGAACAGGAGCAAGTTCCAAATGCTGAACAGAAAAAAGCAGCAACTTCCAGTAAAGTAGCGCAATTTCTAAGATCTGAATGGGAAGAATATGGTGAAAATTCACAATCAATGCATTCAACACACTCCAATGATTATGCCGATGAGTATTCATATCCCGACAGACATTCCTCTCAACCGTCAGATACGGAATTACATGAGACTTTGATACCTGATGAATCACCTTACGATTCTTATACATATGCTGAAGCTCCTCACGAAGAAACACTAACACGTTCCGCAGTTCAACCGCCTCCAATGCAACATCATCATCAACAGCCCTCAGTTCAACAACAACAACGACATCATCAACAACATGATTCAATACCGCCACCTTTACAACCCGCAAATACTCGTCTCTTAGATCAAACTCTTTATACCCTACAAAATCAAATGGAACATCAAACTAAGCTTTTGGAACATCTTTCACAAATTTCCAGCACTATGGCAAGCTTAATGGAACGTCAAGTTTTGGCGGTGGAAAAACAAACCGAAGCCATGCGACGTCAAGCTTCCGCTACAGAACATCATACTCTAGTAATGAATAATTTTGTCGATATGATACGTGACAAAATGCCCAAGACAAATTCAAAGACAACGCCTAACACATCTGCCAATTTAGCAAATGGTAATTCATAAGAGTTTTCGTTTATCTTCTCCTGATGATATTGTGTACCATAACCGTATTATGTTTACGGTTTAATAGTTTTAGGATTAACAACTTTTTTTTTACAAATTAATTTTTGTTATTTAAAGATTTAAGTAATTATTATTTGTTACATTCAAATACAAGTTATTGAATTTAGCTGGTAAGTTAACTATTTTGATAATGATATCTGTTAATAAATGAAATAATAAATAGCGTTTTGTAATAAACATTTAAATATACATGAAATTTATCAATAAGTATTTAACACATATTTTCTTGTAAATAAAATTAAACTAAAATGTAATTTTAGGTTAATTTAACGTTGTACTTGTAGTGTTGACTTTAGTCCAGACAATAGAGTAGTATGTTTTTCAGACTATATGTCTACAGTCCATACTATAGTCATGCCTATAGTCCAGACTATTGTCTTGTCTAATCCAAACTATAGTACAGTCTATAGTAGAGTCTATAGTCCAGACTATAGTATAGTCTATAGTCCAGACTATAGTATAGTCTATAGTTCAGACTATAGTATAGTCTATAGTCCAGACTATAGTATAGTCTATAGTCCAGACTATAGTATAGTCTATAGTCTAGACTATAGTATAGTCTATAGTCTAGACTATAGTATAGTCTATAGTCTAGCCTATAGTATAATCTTGTCAAAAGTGCAGACTATAGTCTTGTCCATAGTCCAGACTACAGTCTGAGTATAGTCCAGACTATAGTATTGTCTATAGTCGAGACAATAGTATTGTCTATAGTCCAGACTATAGTCTTGTCTATAGTCCAGACTGTAGTCTTGTCGAAAGTCCAGACTACAATCTGACTATAGTCTTGTATATAGTCCAGACTATAGTCTTGTATATAGTCCAGACTATAGTCTTGTATATAGTCCAGATTATAGTCTTGTGTATTGTCCAATCTATAATATTTTCTATAGTTTAGACGATAGTCTTGTCTAAAGTCCAGACTATAGTATTCTCTATAGTTCAGGCTATAGTCTTCTTTATAGTCCAGACTATAGTCTTGTCTATAGTCCAGACTATAGTCTTGTCTATAGTCCAGACTATAGTCTTTTTTATAATCCAGACTATAATCTTGTCTATAGTCCAGACTATAGTCTTGTCTATAGTCCAGACTATAGTCTTGTCTATAGTCCAGACTATAGTCTTGTCTATAGTCCAGACTATAGTCTTGTCTATAGTCCAGACTATAGTCTTGTCTATAGTCCAGACTATAGTCTTGTCTATAGTCCAGACTGTAGACTTGTCTATAGTCCAGACTATAGTCTTGTCTATAGTCCAGACTATAGTCTTGTCTATAGTACAGACTATAGTCTTGTCTATAGTACAGACTATAATCTTGTCTATAGTACAGACTATAGTCTTGTCTATAGTCCAGACTATAGTCTTGTTTATAGTCCAGACTATAGTCTTGTCTATAGTACAGACTATAGTCTTGTCTATAGTCCAGACTATAATCTTGTCTATAGTCCAGACTATAATCTTGTCTATAGTCCAGACTATGGTATTGTCTATAGTCCAGACTATGGTATTGTCTATAGTCCAGACTATAGTCTTGTCTATAGTCTTGTCTATAGTCCAGACTATAGTCTTGTCTATAGTCTTGTATATAGTCCAGACTATAGTCTTATGTATTGTCCAATCTATAATCTTCAATATATTGTCCAATCTATAATCTTCCAGTCCAGACTATAGTCTTGTCTATAGTCCAGACTATAGTCTTGTCTATAGTCCAGACTATAGTCTTGTCTATAGTCCAGACTATAGTCTTGTCTATAGTCCAGACTATAGTCTTGTCTATAGTCCAGACTATAGTCTTGTCTATAGTCCAGACTATAGTCTTGTCTATAGTCCAGACTATAGTCTTGTCTATAGTCCAGACTATAGTCTTGTCTATAGTCCAGACTATAGTCTTGTCTATAGTCCAGACTATAGTCCTGTCTATAGTCCAGACTATAGTCTTGTCTATAGTCCAGACTATAGTCTTGTCTATAGTCCAGACTATAGTCTTGTCTATAGTCCAGACTATAGTCTTGTTTATAGTCCAGACTATAGTCTTGTCTATAGTCCAGACTATAGTCTTGTCTATAGTCCAGACTATAGTCTTGTCTATAGTCCAGACTATAGTCTTGTCTATAGTCCAGACTATAGTTTGTCTATAGTCCAGACTATAGTCTTGTCTATAGTCCAGACTATAGTCTTGTCTATAGTCCAGACTATAGTCTTGTCTATAGTCCAGACTATAGTCTTGTCTATAGTCCAGACTATAGTCTTGTCTATAGTACAGACTATAGTCTTGTCTATAGTACAGACTATAATTTTGTCTATAGTATAGACTATAATCTTGTCTATAGTCCAGACTATAGTCTTGTCTATAGTCCAGACTATAGTCTTGTCTATAGTCCAGACTATAGTCTTGTCTATAGTCCAGACTATAGTCTTGTCTATAGTCCAGACTATAGTCTTGTCTATAGTCCAGACTATAGTCTTGTCTATAGTCCAGACTATAGTCTTGTCTATAGTCCAGTCTATAGTCTTGTCTATAGTCCAGACTATAGTCTTGTCTATAGTCCAGACTATAGTCTTGTCTATAGTCCAGACTATAGTCTTGTCTATAGTCCAGACTATAGTCTTGTCTATAGTCCAGACTATAGTCTTGTCTATAGTCTAGACTATAGTCTTGTCTATAGTCCAGACTATAGTCTTGTCTATAGTCCAGACTATAGTCTTGTCTATAGTCCAGGCTATAGTCTTGTCTATAGTCCAGACTATAGTCTTGTCTATAGTCCAGACTATAGACTTGTCTATAGTCCAGACTATAGTGTTGTCTATAGTCCAGACTATAGTCTTGTCTATAGTCTTGTCTATAGTCTTGTCTATAGTCTTGTCTATATTCCAGACTATAGTCTTGTCTATAGTCCAGACTATAGCCTTGTCTATAGACCAAACTATAGTCTTGTCTATAGTCCAGACTATAGTGTCGTCTATAGTCCAGACTATAGTCTTATCTATAGTCCAGACTATAGTCTTGTCTACAGTCCAGACTATAGTATTGTCTATAGTCCAGACTATAGTCTTGTCTATAGTCCAGACTATAGTCTTGTCTATAGTCTAGACTATAGTCTTGTCTATAGTCTTGTCTATAGTCTAGACTATAGTCTTGTCTATAGTCCAGACTGGACTGATCTATAGACCCGACTATAGTCTTGTCTATAGATCAGACCATAGTCTTGCCTATAGTCCATATTATATTCATCCTATAGCCATTTGCACTGCTATCAATCAAGTTATCTTAAATAAAACCTTTAAAACTCTATTTCTGAAAGATAAAGCTCTTATCAATGAATAGGAAGGAATCTCATCATTTTTTTATTAACCTAAACATTTATTATTAAACTTATAATTAAAATAGATTTTTAAAAACATTACATACAAAAAGCACTTAACCCTCTATATATTTTTTTTAGACGAACTCTCTTAGGCCTTTAGCTAAGATTTCTGACCACTTCTAATAATTCTACATTTACTACGAATTTTTCTACGTGAAGCCTCTTGCCGTCTTAAAAACGAATTATGACATTTCGTTGCTTTCAGTTGACGTTCCATTATGGTATTTTGTTTTTCCAAACCCGTAACATGTCGTTCCATTAACTCTGCCAAATTTGAGGTAATTTTCGTTAAATGTTCCATAATTTTATTTTGATTTTTCATTTGTTGCTCCAGGCTGTTGAGGGTCTGACCCAAATAGTTCATTTTCTCCTGACTCAACTGCACCTGGACAGCGTCATGTGGCGATAAACGTTCAGAGTGATAACTATTGGAATTAGTTTGATGATACACCTCATTCGGTTTCTCTTCCAGAGAGTTATTGTCGTAGGAATTGTTGACTTCATGTGATGAATTGAAAAAATGTTTTTCTGTATTATGTAGTTCATCTTCTTCAGCGGCTTCGAGGGGATTGTCATAAGATTCATCAGCTTCATTTTGAGATTCATCGTGATAGTTGGTGGGTGATAGATAGGAATTGTGTTCATTGTTATCGCCATAAGAAGCGTAAATGGATTCAGCACTATTTAAAGTTTCGAGCAGTTTATTCTTTTTCGATTTGTATTTAACTTTTTGGGTTTAGGAGTGAATTCATCGCTTAGACGTTTAATGCTGCGCAGACGTAAATCGGACCAGACCTGAAATTAAGTCAAGAAATAAGTTTTGTTTTTAAAGAAGTAAAATTAAATAGATTTCAATAATATTCGGGAATATTCCTCGAATTTCAATTAAATTTTGAAGTATTTGAAAAATATTCGTGAGTATTCCGGGAATATTAAATAATTTGAATATTCCGTGAGTTTGAGTTAAATTTTAAAGTATTTCAAAAAAATATTCGTGAATATTCCGGGAACATGAAATAATTTGTAAATATTCGTGAGTGTTACGGAAACTTAAAGTAATTTGAAAAATAAAATCGGGAATAATCCTTAAATTTGCGTTTACTTTTGAAGTGATTGTAAAATATTGGGGAATATTCCGATGATTTGAGTTATTTCTAAAAGAAATATTCTGGAACTTGAAGAATTTTTCAAAGATTCAGGAATATTTTGGGAATTTGAGTTTAAAGTAATTTAAAATTACTCGTCAATATTCCGATGTTTAAAAGTAATTTGAAAATATTTTAGGATAAACCGAGAATTTGAATAAAGAAATATTAGAAAATAATCCGGGAACTTAAAGTAATTTTAAAATATTTGCGAATATTCCAAGAATTTGAGTTATATTTTAAAGTAATTGAAAATTAATCGGGAATATTTGACGAATTTGACTTATTTTAAAAAGAAATATTAGGGAACTTGAATTTGAAAATATTCGGGAATATTCCTATAATATTGTAAAAACTTTTAAAGAAATATTCGAGAATATTTCGGGAACTTGAAGGAATTAAAATATTCCCTGAATTTGAGTTAAAATTTAATGTAATTGAAAGTGTTAAAAAAGTAATTTTAAAGAAATTTGATAATCGGGAATATTCTGGGATTTTGAGTTAACTTTTAATTAAAAAAACAAACATTTTTTAAAGGTAAAATGTTAAAGATTTCAAATACTTTGTGATAGTTTAATAAAACAAATATTCAATGACTTTGACTTAAGTTTTAAAATGATTTGAAAAGATTTCGGAATATTCCAAGAAATATTCGAGAATATATCAGGAACTTAAAGTAATTGGATAATTTTCAGCTATATTTTGGGAATTTGAGTTAATTTTAAGTAATTGGAAATATTGGGAAGTATTTCAAAAGTTTTTGAAGTATTATGAAAATATTCGCAAATATTCCGGGAATTTGAGTTGACTTTCAAAGAAATATTAAAGAATTTGAATTTATTTGAAAATATTCGAAAAAATTCCGAGAATTTTAGTTAATTTCTAAAGTAATTGGAAAATATTCGGGAATATTCCAGGATTTTGAGTTAAAAATATCCACTTTTTCATTTAACATTTTACAAATAAAAACACTTTTAATAGCTTTACAAATATAATCCATTATTGGATTGAAAATTAATCGGGAATATTTGACGAATTTGACTTATTTTAAAAAGAAATATTAGGGAACTTGAATTTGAAAATATTCGGGAATATTCCTACAATATTGTAAAAACTTTTAAAGAAATATTCGAGAATATTTCGGGAACTTAAAGGAATTAAAATATTCCCTGAATTTGAGTTAAAATTTAATGTAATTGAAAGTGTTAAAAAAGTAATTTTAAAGAAATTTGATAATCGGGAATATTCTGGGATTTTGAGTTAACTTTTAATTTAAAAAACAAACATTTTTTTAAAGTAAAATGTGAAATATTTCCAAACTTTGTGATAGTTTAATAAAAAAAATATTCAGTGACTTTGACTTAAGTTTTAAAATGATTTGAAAAGATTTCGGAATATTCCAAAAAATATTCCTGAATATATCAGGAACTTAAAGTAATTGGATAATTTTCAGCTATATTTTGGGAATTTGAGTTAATTTAAAGTAATTGGAAATATTGAGAAGTATTTCAAAAGCTTTTGAAGTATTATGAAAATATTCGAGAATATTCCGAGAATTTGAGTTGACTTTCAAAGAAATATTAAAGAATTTGAATTTATTTGAAAATATTCGAAAAAATTCCGAGAATTTTAGTTAATTTCTAAAGTAATTGGAAAATATTCGGGAATATTCCAGGATTTTGAGTTAAAAATATCCACTTTTTCATTTAACATTTTACAAATAAAAACACTTTTAATAGCTTTACAAATATAATCCATTATTGGATTGAAAATTAATCGGGAATATTTGACGAATTTGATTTATTTTAAAAATAAATATTAGGAAACTTGATGAAAATATTCGGGAATATTCCTACAATATTGTAAAAACTTTTAAAGAAATATTCGAGAATATTTCAGGAACTTGAAGTAATAAAAATATTCCCTGAACTTGAGTTAAAGTTAATTGTAATTGAAAGTGTTAAAAAACTAATTTTAAAGATAATTGGGAATATTCCGGGATTTTGAGTTAACTTTTAAAGTAAAAAACAAACATTTTTTAAAGGTAAAATGTTTAAAGATTTCAAAAACTTTGTGATAGTTTAAGAAAACAAATATTCAATGACTTTGACTTAAGTTTTAAAATGATTTGAAAAGATTTCGGAATATTCCAAGAAATATTCGTGAATATATCAGGAACTTAAAGTAATTGGATAATTTTCAGCTATATTTTGGGAATTTGAGTTAATTTAAAGTAATTGGAAATATTGAGAAGTATTTCAAAAGCTTTTGAAGTATTATGAAAATATTCGAGAATATTCCGAGAATTTGAGTTGACTTTCAAAGAAATATTAAAGAATTTGAACTTATTTGAGAATTTTAGTTAATTTCTAAAGTAATTGGAAAATATTCGGGAATTTTCCAGGATTTTGAGTTAAAAATATCCACTTTTTCATTTAACATTTTTAAAATAAAAACACTTTTTATAGATTCACAAATATAATCCATTTCATATCTTTTTATATACATTCTTATAATTCAAAACCTAAGACTATTTTTACAAAAAATAATACTACATATTTTCCTCTAAATCACATTTCATCATTTAAATTTTCTTCTCGTCGCTTGTCGTCTTAAAAACGCATTATGATTTTCACTTAATTTCAATTGTCTTTCCATTAGGGAATTTTTCTTTTCCACCGCCTTTAAATGTCTGGCCATTAATGCCGACATATTTGTGGTAACTTTCAACAGTTGTGTCATTAATTTCTCCTGTGTCTCCAATTGATGTTGTACCGTACTAATGGTTTGTTCCATATCATTTTGATATGGTGTTGTGGCATCTAAAATCTTATAAAACATATTGTTATCTATTACTTTATGTTCTTGAGCCGCTTCAAACTGTTCGTAGGATTCATGATTGTCTTGTGTGGCGGCGACTTCCTGATTGTGTTCATTAAGTTCGGTTTTAATATTTGTACCATATATTGAGATTGAACTATTTAAAGCTTCCATTAGCTGATCTTCTTCTGGATGGGGTTTTTCTTTTTTATGTGTTTTATTCTTTTTGGCTTTTTTCAGACTTTGTTTTTTAATGCGCAAACGGACATCGGACCAGACCTAAAAATATCCATACACATAAAGAAAATTTTGGGAATTATTTTCAAAAGAAAAACACTTTTTTGCTTTAGGAGATAAAAGCCAGTAAGTATTTAGGTTGAAAGGCTTTCAAAAGCCTAAACAAGTTTAAACAAATTTTACATAAAGCCCAGATATTTAAGGGAACTACTCGATATGCGGATTAATAACATGAACTTTAGGAATTTGAAATTGTTCCTTTTAAGTGACTACTTCTACAAATTCTCAAAAACAACAACAACAATGAAATCATTCGAGTTTTTTAAAACTCTATACTATATAACTTTTCTACCGCAATCTGATGTCTGGCTTTGAATTGGCCCAACGTATTTTGCTACCTAAAACGAATGTCGTGACAAAGAACTTTTTCTTTGATAAAACAAAGTTGTGAAAACAATATTTCAAACACATCAATCACGTGAAATGTGCGTGACTTGGGTACGGGCTTGTAGAGAGTATTAAATTTAGAATTTGCTAAGTGTGCGTGATCGTGAGTCATTATTGTGAATAGAAGAAAAATTATAAAAAAGAAGGGGTGAATCAAGTGCAAAAGGGAAAAATATAATAAAAAAAATGTATAAGAATATTTTGAAAACTAGACTAGACCATAGACTGGACTACGGATTTGACATTAAGCCAGAGTATAGACTAGACTATAGACTGGACTATAGATTAAACTATAGAGTAGACTATATATAGTCTTTACTACAGACTCAACTAGACAAGACTAAAGACTAAACTATAGACTAGAATAACGACTAAACTATAGACTAGTGTATAGACTAGACTACAAACTATATTATAGACTAGACTATAGACTAGAGTATAGACTAGACTATAGACTAGACTATAGACTAGACTATAGACTAGACTATAGACTAGACTATAGACTAGACTATAGACTAGACTATAGACTAGACTATAGACTAGACTATAGACTAGACTATAGACTAGATTATAGACTAGACTATAGACTAGACTATAGACTAGACTATAGACTAGACTATAGACTAGACTTTTGACTAGACTATAGACTAGACTATAGACTAGAACATAGACTAGACTAAAGACTATACTATAGACTAGACTACAGATCATACTATAGACTATATTATAGACTAGACTATAGACTAGACTATAAACTAGACTATAGGCTAGGCTATAGACTGGACTATAGACTAGACTATGGACTAGATTATAGACTAGACTATAGACTACACTAGGCTATATACTAGACCAGAGAATAGACTATAGACTAAACTAGAGACTAGACTATAGACTAGACTAGAGACTAGACTATAGACTAGACTATAGACTAGTTTAGACTAGAGACTAGACTATAGACAAGTCTAGACTAGATTGTAGATTAGACTAGACGATAGATTATACTGGACTATAGAATAGACTATTAACTAGACTATAGACTAGAGTATAGACTAGACTATAGACTAGACTATAGAATAGAATAGACTATAGACTAGAGTATAGACTAGACTATAGACTAGACTATAGACTAGACTATAGACTAGAGTATAGACTAGACTATAGACTAGACTATCCACTGGAGTAGATTATAGACAAAACTATTGACTATATACTAAACTATAGACTTAAATGTAGACTGGACTACAGACTACACCATAGACAAAACTATAGACTAGACTAAGGGTGGCAAATCCGTGTGAGCTTGATGTTCATTTGTTCTTCCATAAGGAATTTTGGGCACCCCTGGGCTAGACTATGGAATATACTATAGAATAGACTTAATTATAGATAAGTCTATGGACTCTAGACTAAACTATATAATATGCTATAGTCTAAGTTATAGACTAACCAATAGACTAAGTTATAGACTAACCAACACTAGACTACAGACTAAAATATAGGCAAAACTATAGGTAAGACTATAGAATAGACTATAGAGTAGGCTGTGAACTAGACAATGGACTAGACTATAGAATAGATTAGGCCATAGACTAGACTAAAGACTAGACTATAGTCAAACACAATCCAATATTTAGCATTACAGTTAAATATACTCGAAACAAATTTTCAAAACCTTCAACACATTAGGCGTGTTTATAGCAATTTTCATCAAATGACTATTTACAATATTGCAACAATTTACTATTTTTACAAATGATCACATCTAAAAGAAGCCTCTTCCGCACCCCTTTTAGTTACATACCTTTTTCCACTCCGTCATAGTACGTTCCGGTGGACCAAGAGCATTTAATTTATCCACAATATCTTTCCATTCCGCATCTACCACCGCTCGTTGGGCACCCACACCATAACCACGGGCTGCCGCTGGATGCAAAGCCATTTCAGCTTTTAACAAATCAAATTGTTCATTTGTTGTTTTCTTAACACTGCCAATTGTTTATGTCCACAACAAGAAATTAAAAACAAACAATTGTCAGTAAAATTGTTGTGAAATATTGGAAAAAAAACCAGCACTTACCGCCTCATCATTTAATTTTATTTGGTATCTGCTTTTCTTGTTAACAAGAAGAATTTTGTATTATTTCTGGTTGATAGTTTTATTTTTATTAATTTTTGTCGTATTTACATCAAAAGCAGTCACTTTTTTACATTTTCACGTCATGTATGTCACGAACATTACAGCTTAATTACAATTGGAACTACAACCGCTATCGACAATGAGTTTTCATACATTTTGTATTGAGAGCAAAATATTGTCTTGTGGTTGGCGATATTGTGATTGAGATAGATTCTATCAAAGTATATTAATAAAGTAGCATCACTTGAACAGCTGACTATTTTTTTTAAACTAGATAAATGAACCAAGTTGTCAAAGTTTGTTTTGAAAATTGTTAACATTGTTTACGTCGCCATTTTTAAATTGTGTTTTGCTATTTGTTAAAATTTGTGAAAAGTTGAAAAAGTGAATTAAAAGTGGTTTTAAAGTAGTTTAAAAGTGTAATAAATTGTATAATATATAATAATATAATTAAATTGTTAATATTTTTAACTTAAAAGTAATATTTTTTATTTATGTTTTGTTCACATTGTTGTTCAAGGAAATTTTATTTTGACACAATCTTAAATTATTCCAAAAACAAAATACATGTGGTTGTTGTAGATGTTGTTGTACAACAAGAGGTGTCGCTACTTTATTAATATACTTTGGATTCTATTTTATTTTTATTGCGTTCGCTGGCGATCCTCTCATTTTCATGTTGTAGCGTTGCCATATATTCATAATATTTTGCTAAAAATTAGGGTTCTATAGTTAAAACGAAAAGTCGACTTTTCGACTTTTTGCATTTAGTTAAAAGACGACTTTTCGACCTTTCGACTTTTTCCATTTTATGAAAAGTCGATTTTTCGACTTTTCGACCTTTTTCATTTATTTAAAAGTCGACTTTTAGACTTTTCGACTTTTAGTATTTTATAAATGGTCGACTTTTCGACTTTTTCCGACTTTTCGACTTTTTTCGACTTTTCGACTTTTTTCGACTTTTCGACTTTTTCCGACTTTTTGACCTTTTCCGACTTTTTGATTTTTTACGACTTTTTGACTATTTTCGATTTATTTCGACTATTTTTTACTTTTTTCGAGTTTTTCCGACTATTTTAGAGTTTTTGACCTCTTTTCCACTTTTTTAAAATTTTCACCTCTTTTCCACTTTTTTAAAATTTTCGACTCTTTTCGACTTTTTCCGACTTTTTCGACTTTTTTCGACTTTCTTCGACTTTTTTCGACTTATCGACTTTTCAATTTTTTTCGACTTTTCGACTTTTTTCGACTTTCCGATTTTTTGACTTTTCGACTTTTTTCGACTTTTATTTACAAAGTCGACTTTTCGACTTTTTTCATATCGACTTTTTCGGAACAAAATAGTCGACTTCGACTTTTTTCGACAAAAAGTCGATTGTTCGATTATTCGAAAGTCGATTTATAGAACCTTACTAAAAATCTTGCAAAAACAGGGTTGTTATATATAATGCACATTTTTCGGCATGTTTTATTATTAATCGAAGATATTGAATGAAATAAATATAAATCAAAATGAGAAATGAATAATTTTTTAATAATTTCTATTTATTTCTTAAAAAATAATTATAATTAAAAAAACATCATTTTGCATTGATTTTTTGTGGTCTGTCGACAGCGGTTCCAATTGTAATTAAACTGTTATACATATCAGATGTCGGGACTAAAATGTCGAATGAATGAATGAACAGTGTTGTATTTTCTGATTGAAAGGTTGCCACGTGAGTTCATTAATCGCATAAAGGGAAAGGCTATTTAAAATTTAACGGTATTTTAAAAATATTCGTGATTTACACATGAAATTATTATAAATTTTCTACTAAATTGCGATAAGTTTAATATCTCTGTTGAAAAATTTATATTTTAAAGAAAGTTTTCCATAAATATTCCTTTTCTATGCAAAATGTTTATCGAACATTCCCTTTTTATAGAAAATTTTCGATAAATTTTCTATTTTATAGAAATTTTTAGATAAATTTACTTTTTTATATAAAATTTTCGATAAATTACGTTTATTATAAAAAAATGTTCTTTTTTATAGAAAATTTTCTTTTTTATAGAAAATTTTCATTAAATTTTATTTTTATAGAAAATTTTATTTTTTATAGAAAATATTCGATAGATTTTCTTTTTTTATAGATAATTTTTGATAAATTTTCTTTTGTAGAAAATTTTCTATAAATTTTCTCTGTAGAAAATTTTCCATAAATTTTCTCTTTAATAGAAAATTCTCGATAAATTTTCTTTTTCGTAGAAAATTCGCGGTAAATTTTCCTTTTTTGGATAAACTTTCTTTTGTTTTGGAAAATTTTCGATGCATTTTTTTTATAGAAAATTTTCGATTTTTTTTTAGAAAATTTTAGATAAATTTTCTGTTTTACAGAAAATTTGCGATAAATTTTCTTTTTTATAGAAAGATTTGGATAAATTTTGTTGTTATGGAAAATTTTGGTTTAAATTTGTTTTTATAGATAATATTCGATTTTGATTTTATTGATAAAGTTTCTTTTTATAGAAAATTTACGATAAATTATTTTTTATAGAAAATTTACGATAAATTTTCTTTTTATAGAAAATTTACGATAAATTTTCTTTTTATAGAAAATTTACGATACATTTTCTTTTTAAAGAAAATTTACGATAAATTTTCTTTTTATAGAAAATTTACGATAAATTTTCTTTTTATAGAAAATTTACGATAAATTTTCTTTTTATAGAAAATTTACGATACATTTTCTTTTTAAAGAAAATTTACGATAAATTTTCTTTTTATAGAAAATTTACGATAAATTTTCTTTTTATAGAAAATTTACGATAAATTTTCTTTTTATAGAAAATTTACGATACATTTTCTTTTAAAGAAAATTTACGATACATTTTCTTTTTAAAGAAAATTTACGATACATTTTCTTTTTAAAGAAAATTTACGATACATTTTCTTTTTAAAGAAAATTTACGATAAATTTTCTTTTTAAAGAAAATTTCCGATAAATTTTCTTTTTATATACAATTTACGATAAATTTTCTTTTTATATACAATTTACGATAAATTTTCTTTTTATAGAAAATTTACGATAAATTTTCTTTTTATAGAAAATTTACGTTAAATTTTCTTTTTATAGAAAATTTACGTTAAATTTTCTTTTTATAGAAAATTTACGTCAAATTTTCTTTTTATAGAAAATTTACGTCAAATTTTCTTTTTATAGAAAATTTACGATAACTTTTCTTTTTATAGAAAATTTACGATAACTTTTTTTTTATAGAAAATTTACGATAACTTTTCTTTTTATAGAAAATTTACGATAACTTTTCTTTTTATAGAAAATTTACGATAAATTTTATTTTTATAGAAAATTTACAATAAATTTTATTTTTATAGAAAATTTACAATAAATTTTATTTTTATAGAAAATTTACAATAAATTTTCTTTTTATAGAAAATTTACGATAAATTTTCTTTTTATAGAACATTTACGATAAATTTTCTTTTTATAGAACATTTACGATAAATTTTCTTTTTATATACAATTTACGATAAATTTTCTTTTTATATACAATTTACGATAAATTTTCTTTTTATAGAAAATTTACGATAAATTTTCTTTTTATATACAATTTACGATAAATTTTCTTTTTATAGAAAATTTACGATAAATTTTCTTTTTATAGAAAATTTACGATAAATTTTCTTTTTATAGAAAATTTACGATAAATTTTCTTTTTATAGAAAATTTACGATAAATTTTCTTTTTATAGAAAATTTACGATAAATTTTCTTTTTATAGAAAATTTACGATAAATTTTCTTTTTATAGAAAATTTACGATAAATTTTCTTTTTATAGAAAATTTACGTTAAATTTTCTTTTTATAGAAAATTTACGTTAAATTTTCTTTTTATAGAAAATTTACGTTAAATATTCTTTTTATAGAAAATTTACGTTAAATTTTCTTTTAATAGAAAATTTACGTTAAATTTTCTTTTTATAGAAAATTTACGTTAAATTTTCTTTTTATAGAAAATTTACGTTAAATTTTCTTTTTATAGAAAATTTACGTTAAATTTTCTTTTTATAGAAAATTTACGATAAATTTTGTTTTTATAGAAAATTTACGATAAATTTTCTGCTCATAGAAAATATTCGATAAATTTTCTTTTTATAAAAAGTATTAGAAAATATTCGATAAATTTTCTTTTTATAAAAAATGTTCGATAAATTTTCTTTTTGTAGAAAATGTTCGACAAATATGCTACTTATAGAAAATTTTCGTTAAATATGCTTTTTATAAAAAGTTTTCGTTAAATTTAATTTTTATGCAAAATTTAAGTTAATTTTTGTTTTTATACAAAATGCTCGTTAAATTTGGATTTTATGGAATATTTTCTTTAAATTTTGATATTGTGGAATATTTTCGTTAAATTTGGATTTTATGGACAATTTTCGTTAGGTACTCATTCCATATAGACTTTTATTGTTATTTCAAAACTCTTCAACTTGTTTGATCTTCGTTTTCTCTTTTCTTTTATTGTTTTAATTTAAAATTAAGTATTTGTATAATATAAATTAAAATGTTAACAATACAAAAAAATACGTTATTATCTTAAATGCTTAAAATTATTAGTACAAAAAAACACATACAAATTGACACAATTGAATATTTGTTAATAAGTTTCGCATTCAAATAAGCTAAACTTTTAATGAAACACAAAAAGGCACTTTAAAGTTGCTTATTTGGAAACCTCTAAGCGCGAACACGGGAAGCCTTCTTGCTCTTATCAGCCTTGGGTGGTGGTGGTCCACCACGACCATTTTGCATATGGCGATTGTAAATACTGCAAAGAAGAGATTTTTATTAATAGTATTCATTAAGTTTTTTTAATATTAAACTATTTACTTACATTTTATAAGTTTCTGTTTTAATATACTCAATGACATGGCTAATACCCAATAAATATTGTTCGGCAATGGGTTGTACCCAAGGATTCTCTTCCATTTTCATCACCGATTTGCTGCCCAATAAATCCAATTGTGCCACTTCAGGAGGCAAAACCTGCAAGCGATTATGTTGAATATGCAACTCCCTCAAACGTGCCAATTCACCAATTTCTCTTGGCAATTCCAACAAGTCGTTATCACGTAAACCCAAAATTTGCAAATTCTTCAAATTACCCAAACCCTTGGGTATATACTCGAAATCATTATCACCCAAATACAAGGCTCTCAAGGTTTCCATCATAAAGAAATTACCGGGTAAACCTTTTTCATTTAGATTATTGTACGATAAATCGAGTACTTCTAAAACGGGAAAAGCACCAAAGCCACGAGGAAGACTATCCAAACGATTAATCGATACATTGAGTATACGCAATTTAGGCATAGAAGAGATGGAAACGGGCAGTTCACGTAGTTGATTATTGGAGAGATTTAAGATTTCCAAGTTGAGTAAATTGGCAATACCAGGATTAATGACACTGATTTTGTTGTGACTCAATGTCAGACGGGTGATATTGGCCATGTTGACTGGAACAAGAAAATTATTTACATAAGTGAATTATTTTAAGAAGTTGTTTTTTAAGAAAAATTTAAAATTTAGTCACTTTGAAGATGGAAAAGAGATTTGTTTTTTAAACATTTTCATTAAAAGAAAATCTAACAAAAATTTTACATAAAATTAAAATTTAACGAAAATTTTTAAATAAAATGAAAATTTAACTAAAATTTTTAAATAAAAACTAAATTGAACGAAATTTTTTTTAGAAAAATAAATTTTAATAAACATTTTCCACTAAAAAAAACGAATATTTTAAATAAAACAAAAATTTAATGAAAATTGTCTTTAAAAAGAAAATTTAATGAAACATTTCAGTAAAAAGAAAATTTACCGAAAATATTTCAATAAAAAGAAAATTTAACGAAAATTTATCAATAAAAAGAAAGTTTAACGAAAATAATTCAGTAAAAAAATAATTTGAAGAAATTTTTCCATAATAAAGAAAATTTAACGAAAATTTTCTATGAAAAAGGAAATTTAACGAAAATTTTCCATAAAAAAGAAAATTTAACGAACATTTCCTATTAAAAAGAAAACTTAACGAAAATTTTCCATAAAAAAAAAATTTAACAAAACTTTCTATAAAAAAGAATATTTAACGAACATTTCCTATTAAAAAGAAAACTTAACAAAAATTTTCTATAAAAAAGAAAATTTAACGAAAATTTTCTATAAAAAAGAAAATTCAACGAACATTTTCTATAAAAAGAAAATTTATCAAATATTTTCTATAAAAATAATAATAATTTGAAGAAAATTTTCCATAAAAAATTTAACGAAAATTTTCTATAAAAAAGAAAATTTAACGAAAATTTAACGAAAATTTTCACTTAACAAAAATTTTCTATAAAAAATAAAATTTAACGAAAATTTTCTATAAAAAAGAAAATTCAACGAACATTTTCTATTAAAAGAAAATTTATCAAATATTTTCTATAAAAATAAAATTTATCATATATTTTCTATAAGAAGAAAACTTATAGAAAATTTTCTTTAAAAAGAAAATTAATTGAAAATTTTGTATAAGAAAATTAATTGAAAATTTTGTATAAGAAAATTATTGAAATTTTTAGAAGAAAATTTGTCGTAAATTTTCTATAAAAAGAAAACTTATCGTAAATGTTCTACAAAAGAAAATTTATCGTAAATTTTTTATAAAAAGAAAATTTAACGTAAATTTTCTAAGAAAATTTATCGTAAATTTTCTTTCAAACAAGAAAATTTTACTTTTAATATTTTCTCATTTATAGAAAATTTAACGAAAATGTTCTAAAAAAATGAAAATTAAGCGAAAATTTTCTATTTAACGAAAATTTTCTATGAAAACAAAATTTATCGTAAATTTTCTATAAAAAGAAGATTTATCGTAGATTTTCTAAAAAAGAAAATTTATCGTAAATTTTCCAAAAAAAAATTACGACAATTTTCTATTAAAAATAAAATTTATCGAAAATTGTTAAAAATAAAATTTATCGTAAATTCTCTAAAAAAAGAAAATTTATCGTAAATTTTCTACAAATAGAAATATTTATCGTAAATTCTCTAAAAAAATGAAAATTTATCGAAGATTTTCTTGTATTTATACCCAATTTCCTCATAAAATTAGTTTCTTTTACCAATAAACAAATCATAAACATGGCAGCACTTGTTAAAAAATAAAACTTATCGTAAATTCTCTAAAAAAAAGAAAATTTATCGTAAATTTTCTACAAATAGAAATATTTATCGTATTTATACCGAATTTCCTCATAAAATTAGTTTCTTTTACTAATAAACAAATCATAAACATGGCAGCACTGTAAACTACAATTGGGCAACACCATTAGTTGTCATTACGGAAATATTCTTTCAAATGTTTGTTTTGCTAACTCTCTCCTCTTTACTAGCGAGTTATTATTAAACCAATACACAAACAAACACACATGTACTCAGATATTTAGTGATTTACTAAATTTATTCTCATTCTCTGTGTTTATTTCTTTCATATTATGACGTTTGATTATAAAATTAAATCAAGCAACAAGTAAATAATTTTTTATATAAATTTCCAAATAAAAACAAATGATTACATGTTTGTTAATGTTTAATTATAATAATCAATTTGAAATATTGAAATTATGTACACAAAACTCAATTATAAATTTTAAAACACTGCCAAGTGAAGGTGTCTGTCCGGAAATTCTTTGATGATGAAATGTGGGCAGACAGCATACATAAAGATATAAGCAATTAGATGATCTCATACACGTAATATACTTATTTATTAATATATTTTTTATATTTACCACTTAATACTTAATTTCAAAACTTATTTATTTGAAACTTGTCTTTTCCATCTTCAATTCTTTACTTTTCACTTTGTTTACTTTTTACATTATTACACATTTGCTTTATTTATTTATACACTTACACAATCCCGGCAACTCCTCAAAGGAGCTAATGCCCTTGTCCACCAAATCGATTTCACGATTTTGTGTTTCACGCGCTTCATCCAAGACTTTTTTTGCTTTCGACATTTTAGTTTGTACTGGCAAGCAAGATACTGTAGATTGACTCATTTTTTATTATTCTATTCTATCTCTCGTTCTTCTTTTTAGATTGTTTTCTTTTTTGAGTTATTTTTTCAAAAAAAAATTTCCCTTTATTATTTCTCGTTCTCTATTTAAATAAAAGAATGTACTTGAAAACAATTATACTCATTATCATACACATTTTTTGGTAAATTTTATTATCTCTTCGTTTGCATAGAGCAGCATATTGAGTTTAATTTGTATTTTATGTTTAACTGTAATTTTTATGTTGAGAGCTGCTGAATACAGAGTTGCCAGATAAGTGCATTGCAAAGTAACAATGCAAATTTCTCCCAGAGAACTGAACTAGAAATAAACTAAAACTAAACTAGCACTTAACTAGAACTTAACTAGAACTAAACTAGAACTGAACTAGAACTGAACTAGAACTGAACTAGAACTGAACTAGAACTGAACTAGAACTGAACTAGAATTGAACTAGAACAGAACTAGAACTAGAACTGAACTAGAACTAAAGTAGAACTGAAATAGAACTGAACTAGAACTGAACTAGAACTGAACTAGAACTGAACTAGAACTGAACTAGAACTGAACTAGAACTGAACTAGAACTGAACTAGAACTGAACTAGAACTGAACTAGAACTGAACTAGAACTGAACTAGAACTGAACTAGAACTGAACTAGAACTGAACTTGAACTGAACTAGAACTGAACTAGAACTAAACTAGAACTGAACTAGAACTGAACTAGAACTGAACTAGAACTGAACTAGAACTGAACTAGAACTGAACTAGAACTGAACTAGAACTGAACTAGAACTGAACTAGAACTGAACTAGAACTGAACTAGAACTGAACTAGAACTGAACTAGAACTGAACTAGAACTGAACTGAACTAGAGAACTAGAACTGAACTAAACTGAACTAGAACTGAACTAGAACTGAACTAGAACTAGAACTGAACTAGAACTGAACTAGAACTGAACTAGAACTGAACTAGAACTGAACTAGAACTGAACTAGAACTGAACTAGAACTGAACTAGAACTGAACTAGAACTGAACTAGAACTGAACTAGAACTGAACTAGAACTGAACTAGAACTGAACTAGAACTGAACTAGAACTGAACTAGAACTGAACTAGAACTGAACTAGAACTGAACTACTGACTAGAGCTGAACTAGAACTGAACTAGAACTGAATCTAGAACTGAACTAGAACTGAACTAGAACTAGAACTGACTAGACTGAACTAGAAACTGAACTAGAACTGAACCTAGAAACTGAACTAGAACTGAACTAGAACTGAACTAGAACTGAACTAGAACTGAACTAGAACTGAACTAGAACTGAACTAGAACTGAATAGAACTGAACTAGAACTGAACTAGAACTGAACTAGAACTGAACTAGAACTGAACTAGAACTGAACTAGAACTGAACTAGAACTGAACTAGAACTGAACTAGAACTGAACTAGAACTGACTAGAACTGAACTAGAACTGAACTAGAACTGAACTAGAACTGAACTAGACTGAACTAGAACTGAAACTAGAACTGAACTAGAACTGAACTAGAAACTGAACTAGAACTGAACTAGAACTGAACTAGAACTGAACTGAACTAGAACTGAACTAGAAACTGAACTAGAACTGAACTAGAACTGAACTAGAACTGAACTAGAACTGAACTAGAACTGAACTAGAACTAGACTAATGAACTAGAACTGAACTAGAACTGAACTAGAACTGAACTAGAACTGAACTAGAACTGAACTAGAACTGAACTAGAATGAACTAGAACTGAACTAGAACTGAACTAGAACTGAACTAGAACTGAACTAGAACTGAACTAGAACGAACTAGAACTGAACTAGAACTGAACTAGAAACTGAACTAGAACTGAACTAAGACTGAACTAGAACTGAACTAGAACTGAACTGAACTGAACTAGAACTGAACTAGAACTGAACTAGAACTGAACTAGAACTGAACTAGAACTGAACTAGAACTGAAACTAGAACTGAACTAGAACTGAACTAGAACTGAAACTAGAAACTGAACTAGAACTGAACTAGAACTGAACTAGAACTTTTGAACTAGAACTGAACTAGAACTTGAACTAGAACTGAACTAGAACTGAACTAGAACTGAACTAGAACTGAACTAGAACTAACCTAGAACTGAACTAGAACTGAACTAGAATTGAACTAGAAGTGAACTAGAAGTGAACTAGAAGTGAACTAGAACTGAACTAGAACTGAACTAGAACTGAACTAGAACTGAACTAGAACTGAACTAGAACTGAACTAGAACTGAACTAGAACTGAACTATAATTGAACTAGAACTGAACTAGAACTGAACTAGAACTGAACTAGAACTGAACTAGAACTGAACTAGAACTGAACTAGAATTGAACTAGAACTAAACTAGAACTGAACTAGAACTGAACTAGAACTGAACTAGAACTGAACTAGAACTGAACTAGAACTGAACTAGAACTGAACTAGAACTGAACTAGAACTGAACTAGAACTGAACTAGAACTAAACTAGAACTGAACTATAACTGAACTAGAACTGACCTACAACTAAACTAGAACTGAACTGGAACTGAAATAGAAAGTTTCGAAAATTTCCCTCCTTAAGGAATTTTAATTCCCATTTACACTGTTTATAATCTGGCATTACTGTTTACATTGTTTTTAAATGCGTAACGGTGTAAGGGGCTGCGAGGGACCAGCATGTTTCTCCGATGCACATCTGTTTTTTGTTTTCTTAAAATTTCAAGTACTGCTCCAGCAAACTGAGAAAATAATAAAGGCCTATTATTATAAAAGCAATGAAATTTAAAGTTCTAATAACACTCAAAACTCTGCACTCTAATATAATCCACAAATTTTAAATTTAAACAACAAACACTGAACAGAAGACAAGTGCAATGCATTAAAAAAAAAAAACCAGCTGCCACAACCACTTCTTGTCAAAATTAAAAAAAATTAAAAAGTGGTTTATGTATAGACTTGTGCGTAGCATTGACACATTTTCAAAATGTAACGGTTACACTTAAACAGAATAATTTGATTTCATCTTTAGATTAACTATATTCATAATTTTTAAACATTTTTTCTATTTAATTAATAAAATTATAATAAATACAATGTTTTATCACTTGTTTGCTTTTAAGATTTCACTTTTGTTTCTTGCTTAAAGCTTTTTTTTATATTTTTCTTGATAAAACCAACTTTTTACGTCCTCACTCATGGGCAAATTCGCGCCGACTACTTGTGTGTTTTTTTTTGATGAATTTTCAATCTGTTGTTCATTTACAAAAAAAAAGCAATTTCTTCTAAATTTTATAAAAATAGCAGCCGCCCTGTATGCGTCATATAACTCGTACATACAACACATCCAACTTGATTTTATAAAATGTACAATAATGTGTCGATATAAATTTTATGTTTTTTTCTTGTTTTTATTATTAATTTTGTTGTTTTTGCTGTCACGTCCGCCGCCTGCATCTGTGGTCGCCGTCGACAACGACGTCACCTGAAAACTATACTAACTTGACATTGTGCGCGCGACTGTTTCGCGCTGAAAAGGTGTTTTCTTTTTTTTCGTCTTTTGTTTTTGTTATAGTTTTCATGTCAATACTTGATTTTCAATGTTCAATTAATTATACCCAACAGGTTCCAGACTCAGTCCTTGAGTGGTTTTACAACCAACTGAACTGAACTAGAACTGACTAGAACTAGAACGGAACTAGAACTGAACTAGAACTGAACTAAGGACTACTGAACTAGAACTGAACTAGAACTGAACTAGAACTGAACTAGAACTGAACTAGAACTGAACTAGAACTAACTAGAACTGAACTAGAACTGAACTAGAACTGAACTAGAAATTAGCTAGAACTGAACTAAACTTAACTAGAACTAGAACTGAAACTAGAACTGAACTAAACTGAAGCTAGAACTGAACTAGAACTGAACTAGAACTGAACTAGAACTAGAACTGAACTAGAACTGAACTAGAACTGAACTAGAAACTGAACTAGAACTGAACTAGAACTGAACTAGAACTGAACTAGAACTGAACTAGAACTGAACTAGAACTGAAACTAGAACTGAACTAGAACTGACTAGAACTGAACTAGAACTGAACTAGAACTGAACTAGAACTGAACTAGAACTGAACTAGAACTGAACTAGAACTGAACTAGAACTGACTGCTAGAACTGAACTAGAACTGAACTAGAACTGACTAGACTGAACTAGAACTGAATTCTAGACTAACTAGAACTGAACTAGAACTGAACTAGAACTGAACTATGAACTGAACTAGAACTGAACTAGAAATGAACTAGGAATGGAACTAGAACTGAACTAGGAATTAAACATTGCCAGTTTAGTCTCCATGGAACTACATGGTCACACGTCCACACCCATACTAATAAAAGTGATGACATCAAATGTACTCACACTCCAATGTAAAGATACCCGTGGGTGCCTTTAAAGGTGAAATACGAGAAAACAACAACGACACTCTACAAGTACATTTTTGTAAGTGGTTTGTCTGAATATGAAAAAACTTGTCTGTGATGGCCATCGCAGTATGTAGTTAATTATGTAGAAGGGGGTAAAACGTAAAAAGATTGAAAACATTTTAGGTTGATTAAGAAAACCACAAATTTGTTGCAACATAATAAAGCGCGCATATGACACAAGATCAAAGATACATAGATTTATTAGCTTTGATTGATGCACATCAATTATTGGTTTGTACTTAATTATTTGACAACAAGTAATGAATACCATCAATAAGCCTATGATAGTTACAGTATCTTATATGCCGTATAAAACTTTGCATTATATGTATACATTAATTTTACTATTAAGAAAATATTTTGCTTATTGTATTCCTAAGTTTATATTTTTGTAATTTTAGTGTTCTTTTTTAAAGTGTTTATGCCATAGTACAAAGATTGTGCCCGAAAAAGCTCAATTCTTTGTCACATGTTTGTGATATGGTGTAAATTTAGCAAATTTTCTCACCGGATGAATACTTATAATGAAAGCTGCCAGAGCAAAGACACTGCAGTTACAGTTTAAAGGTCATTGCTTAAGGGTTTTGTAACAAACTAAACGTGATGAATGCCTACGAGTTGCCACTAAGACTAAATGATAATTGTCTTAGCTAAAACAATAGCTTAGACATTTACCTATAAAACATCATTGAAGCGATACTGCCGGGTATGGAAAATTGTGTGTTTGTAATTAACCCTTACCATATATTTTAGTAACTTTACTATCTACGATAGGTCAAGGTATTAGGACTAAACTAGATGTAAACCAGAAATGGCTAGAACGGAACTAGAACAGAACTAGAACTGAACTAGAACTGAACAAGAACTGAACTAGAACTGACTAACTGAACTACTGAACTAGAACTGAACTAGAACTGAACTAGAACTGAACTAGAACTGAACTAGAACTGAACTAGAACTGAACTAGAACTGAACTAGAACTGAACTAGAACTGAACTAGAACTGAACTAGAACTGAACTAGAACTGAACTAGAACTGAACTAGAACTGAACTAGAACTGAACTAGAACTGAACTAGAACTGAACTAGAACTGAACTAGAACTGAACTAGAACTGAACTAGAACTGAACTAGAACTGAACTAGAACTGAACTAGAACTGAACTAGAACTGAACTAGAACTGAACTAGAACTGAACTAGAACTGAACTAGAACTGAACTAGAACTGAACTAGAACTGAACTAGAACTGAACTAGAACTGAACTAGAACTGAACTAGAACTGAACTAGAACTGAACTAGAACTGAACTAGAACTGAACTAGAACTGAACTAGAACTGAACTAGAACTGAACTAGAACTGAACTAGAACTGAACTAGAACTGAACTAGAACTGAACTAGAACTGAACTAGAACTGAACTGAACTGAACTAGAACTGAACTAGAACTGAACTAGAACTGAACTAGAACTGAACTAGAACTGAACTAGAACTGAACTAGAACTGAACTAGAACTGAACTAGAACTGAACTAGAACTGAACTAGAACTTAACTAGAACTGAACTAGAACTGAACTAGAACTGACTAGAACTGAACTAGAACTGAACTAGAACTGAACTAGAACTGAACTAGAACTGAACTAGAAATGAACTAGAACTGAACTAGAACTGAACTAGAACTGAACTAGAACTGAACTAGAACTGAACTAGAACTGAACTAGAACTGAACTAGAACTGAACTAGAACTGAACTAGAACTGAACTAGAACTGAACTAGAACTGAACTAGAACTGAACAAGAACTGAACTAGAACTGAACTAGAACTGAACTAGAACTGAACTAGAACTGAACTAGAACTGAACTAGAACTGAACTAGAACTGAACTAGAACTGAACAAGAACTAAACTAGAACTAGAACTGAACTAGAACTAGAACTGAACTAGAACTGAATTAGAACTGAACTAGAACTGAACTAGAACTGAACTAGAACTGAACTAGAACTGAACTAGAACTGAACTAGGACTGAACTAGAACTGAACTGAACTAGAACTGAACTAGAACTGAACTAGAACTGAACTAGAACTGAACTAGAACTGAACTAGAACTGAACTAGAACTGAACTAGAACTGAACTAGAACTGAACTAGAACTGAACTAGAACTGAACTAGAACTGAACTAGAACTGACTAGAACTGAACTAGAACTGAACTAGAACTGAACTAGAACTGAACTAGAACTGAACTAGAACTAAACTAGAACTGAACTAGAACTGAACTAGAACTGAACTGGAACTGAACTAGAACTGAACTAGAACTGAACTAGAACTGAACTAGAACTGAACTAGAACTGAACTAGAACTGAACTAGAACTGAACTAGAACTGAACTAGAACTGAACTAGAACTGAACTAGAACTGAACTAGAACTGAACTAGAACTGAACTAGAACTGAACTAGAACTGAACTAGAACTGAACTAGAACTGAACTAGAACTGAACTAGAACTGAACTAGAACTGAACTAGAACTGAACTAGAACTGAACTAGAACTGAACTAGAACTGAACTAGAACTGAACTAGAACTGAACTAGAACTGAACTAGAACTGAACTAGAACTGAACTAGAACTGAACTAGAACTGAACTAGAACTGAACTAGAACTGAACTAGAACTGAACTAGAACTGAACTAGAACTGAACTAGAACTGAACTAGAACTGAACTAGAAATGAACTAGAACTGAACTAGAACTGAACTAGAACTGAACTAGAACTGAACTAGAACTAGAACTGAACTAGAACTGAACTAGAACTGAACTAGAACTGAACTAGAACTGAACTAGAACTGAACTAGAACTGAACTAGAACTGAACTAGAACGGAACTAGAACTGAACTAGAACTGAACTAGAACTGAACTAAAACTGAACTAGAACTGAACTAGAACTGAAGTAGAAATAAAGAAAGCTCAATACTTTCTGCTGTTGTACAATAAATAAAACGAATATTAAAATGCTTCTTTAGAGTTTGTCTTTAGACTTTTTTCACGGAATCCTTTTTAAAAGCTTTATATATGCCATTTTTAAGGCAACAAATTATTGCAATCCAAGATTATGAAAATATATGCACATAATTAGAACTGTTAAAAACTGATAGAGTAAAGAGACGTTTTGCTTTTTTAAACCAAACAATCTTTTGCCTTAATATATTCTCAAATCCCCGTATTTACGATATTTTCTTCGAAAAAATCTAAACAAACTAGTTTCATCCTAAAAACTGCAACGTATTTAGTCCTTTTAGGATTTCAAAAGAGCGATGGCGTATAATTAAATATATTTGTGTGTGTTTGTCTAAGTTTTTTTCAGCATCTGACATTTTTAAGGATGCTTTGCAATGTTCCAGTTTTAACAGGAAATAAAAACTAAAAAATACTTCAGTTATAGTTTTTATACAAAAGAACATTTTAAAAGGGTTCTACAATAATGATTGCCCATTGAAGTTCCCGAGTTAAATTGAAGGATTGAATTCCGTCCTATCGAAGACAAGATCATACAGACCAGGCGGAATAATCAAATAAAACTTTTTCAAATTTCAAACTACCAAACCACCTTTATAAGAAACCCCTTTAAATATGTGTAAAGTATATAGTTAGGTACCCGTATTTCTATATAAATACATGCTAATGAAATTTCATTTCAGTCCAAAAAGTATTTCTGGCTTTTTTTAAGCCATTACACAGTTTTACAGCAATTGCTGCAAAAGGCAGAGTCCTGCCACAGTTGCATTTAATAGTCTTTCA